TCCCAGACAGTATCAAGGAACTGAAACTTAGCAGATTACTGCATCTGAACAATGTTATGCCAGACCCCTCACCTGCCCTGATTGCCTAACCAACTGCCTGCTTCCTGTTGAACAACTTCTCTTCCTTACCACTCCCTAATTCCTGTTTCCGCACACCTAGTTACATTTCTTCCCTGCTGTATAAACTAATTTTAGCTGGGTGAGGAGATGGATTTGATACTGATCTCTCATCACCTTGGCTGCAGTGCCCAAATAAAGCCTTCTTCCCTAGCAGTACTCATTGTGTCAGTGATTGGCTTTCTGTGCGGTGAGAAATGGGACCTAGACTGAACCCCTGATGTTTTGGTAACAGTTATAGTTCCTTTTAAGACTTTTGTCTCTTAAGTTTTCTTCATTCTTTTAAAAATATTTTTACTCTGTGGAATGGGTAATTTCAAATATCCTATCTTTGAGTTTACTGATTCTTTCCTGTACTTGATCAAGGCTGCTGCTGAGCCCCTGTAGTTGTTCTTAGTTCAGTTATGGTACTCTTCAGCCCTCAAATTCTTCTTTTTCAAAATATTTTGTTTGTTAAAATACTCTTATTTATGCATAATTTAAGTCTATTGAATGTTTTGATTATGGTTATTTTGAATTCTTATCAGCTAATCCATTTACCTTCATTTCTTTAGGGTTGGTTTCTGGAGATTTATTTTGTTCCTTTCTTTGGGCCTTTTTTCATGTTCCTTGACCCTTTGTATTAATGTCTGCATATCTGAAAGACATCCACTTCTCCCAGTCTTTGTGGACTGGCCTTGTACAGGGGCGGACCTTTAAGAATCAGCCTGAGTAGAGATTCTGGGGTCCTCATAAACTTTTTATGTGGATATATCTCTGGACTTTTGTGTATAAATTTCTAAATAGGAGAATTTGCTGGTTTCTGTTTTTAGGAGATCATAGTCTCTTGTTCCTTTTTATTCTGTGTCTTGTACTATGGGCCTTCTGGAGCCAGTAGCATGCTGCCTCAATCCTTTTTTTGTTATTATTTGTTTTTTTATATTCAGCTGCCCCTAGGCACTTTAGTTTATGCTAGGTCCTACCAGTGCTTCAAGACAGGTGAGACAGAAACAGGTTTCTTGGGCAGTCCCCCAAAAGTCTGAATGTTGGGTATATGCTTTAGTCTTCTCTTTCCCTCCCCAGGGAGAAGCTGTGGACCATGAGCTTTTCTAATTGTGTCATGCTGAGCAAGGGGTAGGAACTCTGGCCATGAGTGCTTACTAGTCCAAACCACCACCCTTTGTTTTGTTCTCAGTGGCCCCCAGGCATTTAGAGAATACCAGTCCTGTGAGTGCTTTCAGAATCCTGTCCCTTAGGCAGTCCCTTTCAAAAGCCAGAATGTTGGGCAGCTATTTCAACTTTTTCCTTCCCTAGGGAGATGCTGGGATTAGGGGTTTCCACCTGCCAGTTCTGAGCTGGTGGGAGGAGCTATGGTCAGTTACTGCATACTAGTCCAAACTAGAGGCTTTGTTCTCAGCATTTCCCAACCTGGGACCCTTTCCTGTCAGAGCTAAGATTCAGGCAAGACAGCAACAAGTCCCTTAAGTAACCTTGCTTATGGCAAGAGGATTCCACAAATTTTCCTGCTGGCTGCAATATGGCTGGTTTCATCCTTGCCTGGGGTACGGGAGCCTCTCATCTGGTCTCTGGATGTCTCACAAAGGGAATTTTGGTCCATGTATTGTTGAATTTATGTGTCCATTGAGAGAAGGAGAGTCTTGCTGACATCACCTCCTAAAGTAATTTTTGCAGGAGGACATTTGATTGGTCTTCCTTTAGGCTTATATCTTTGTATATATAATATAATCCCTTATTTCTTCATCTGTATAGGGATAAGTTTATATTTTTCTAGTATTAGGAATCAACATTGATACTTTGAGAGTGTTTGTGGATTCCTGTTGAAATATTTTCTCATTAGGAAAAAGTGAAAGGGAAAATTTATATTCCCCTGGTTTTACTGCTTCAGAGTAGTAAAGAGCATATCAGGGAATGTTACCAATGTATTGAATTTTTTCTTTCTGTGTTGGTTTTGGCATCCTGAAATTAATTGAGGCACAATACGCCTTTTCTGCTTGGCACAAGTACCATATTATGAGCTCACTGTGATCATGTCCCCTGTACCAATTGTAGGTTGTCCTTATAAACACCAGGTCTTGCTATTCTGTGTGGCATGTGGTACTTTTTATTCATAAAAAGGCTTTTAAGGTTGAACTTTTCTCCCATGTTCTGTTTCACTGCTCATCCAGAACACCAGTGCCATCACTGAATTTGAGCCTTTGTACGTACTTACTTAGAGTTTAATTGTGTTTCCAGCTGGAGACAGTCTCATGGCAAAAGAATGAAAGTTCTGTAACCAAAGTCCTGTGTATCTTGTGCCAGCCAGATTTAGCAATGATACTGACCTTCTCCTTCAGTTGGCTCCAAAGCCTTCACAAGAAGCTGGCTTCTGCAACGCCTCTTACTTGGCCTTCACGGAGCATGTATTAGGGGTAACATAATATGTTTAGTTAATAATAATGGACATGTTGAATTGGAAGTAGGGCTATTCAATTTGTATTTGTAATGGGTTTGGAGGCCAAGAGAGCAATTTGGACTACAGATGTAGATTTTGTAAGCAAAACTTATTATTATTATTTAAAAAACTAATACATTGGATCATCCAGGTAAAGCATGTAAAATGAAAATAAATTAGTTTAGAGACAGAACTCTGGGATTACAGCATGTATGAGATGGGCAAAGAAAGCTAGTGAAGGTTACTGTGAAGGAAATCTCTGAATGATAGGATGAGAATTGTGGAAAAATGGTGTTTGTTTATTTGTTTTTTGAGACGGAGTCTCGCTCTGTCACCAGGCTGGAGTGCAGTGGCATAATCTCTGCTCACTGCAACCTTTGCCTCCTGGGTTCAAGTGATTCTCCTGCCTCAGCCTCCCGAGTAGCTGCGACTACAGGTGTGCACCACCACGCCCGGCTAATTTTTGTATTTTTAGTGTAGATGGGGTTTCACCATGTTGGCCAGTATGGTCTTGATCTCTTGACCTTGTGATCCGCCCGCCTCAGCCTCCCAAAGTGCTGGGATTATAGGTGTGAGCCACTGTGCCGGGTTGTTTGTTTTTAGACAGGGTCTCACTCTGTCACCCAGGCTGGAGTGCAGTGGAACAATCCCAGCTCACTGCAGCCTCAACCTCCTCCTGGCCTAAAGTGTTCTTTCTACCTCAGCCTCCCAAGTAGCTGGGACCACAGGCATGTACCACCATGCATGACTACTTTTTGTCACATGTTGCCCAGGCTAGTCTCAAACTCCTGAGTTTAAGTGATACGCCCACCTTGGCCTCTCAAAGTGCTGGGATTACAGGTGTAAGCTACTGTGTCTGGCCAGGAGAATAGTTTTATGGAGCCATTGAATGCAGCTTCTTTAAAATGCTGTCTCTAATGTTTTAGTGCCATCAACTGAATTAAGGACAGATTATGACTTATTTGCTTGAATGTCTAGGAGATCGTTGATGACTTACAGCAACTTTTGGGATGAATGCAAGTTATATTGTGGCTGATTGAAAAACATGACAGATTAGAGCATGGATTCAATAACATTTTTGAAAATTTATTGTGAAGGTAAAGAGGTTGGTACAGAAGGACAGCTACAAGTGAATTAAGAGGATGTGTTGTTTTATGTATGCAATCCTGTGCAATAAATAGATAAATAATTCAGGCTCCTTTTAAAATTTGTATTTTTTTATGAGAAGATTTTTAATATTTAAGCATTTTTCAATTTTTAAGTATAGCTCTTTTTATGATTATTTAATATACTCTTAAAGAACAGTCCACTGCTTAGTATGATATATCAGGTTACCTTTCCTCATAGAGTTTTAAATGCTTATATCAGCTGACACACATTGGTAAAATTATACTCAAAATATTAACTTTGCCCATTTTTCTCATTTGCTTTAAACGATTTGGATGTTTGTGATACTGAATAGGGGTATAAAAAGTAAACAGCTGTCTTTAAAACAGGTTTTTCTGCCATTGTACATTACTTACTAGTCTAAAGAATGTTATTCTATCAGTTTTAATCACAAAATACATTAGTTTTAATATTGTCTTTTGAATTAATATTCTGTCTTTTGGAAGTACTTAGTGTAGATCTCAGTTTGTGAAAGAAATTCTGATGTGGTTTGTGGTTGAATGTTAGTGACTTTAATTCATTGTATAATGGTTATTTACCATTTCATATATCTTGAAGCATTTGTTCAGAGAATAGGTGTTCATAATTGTGGACCTTTCATTGAAGTGGTTTGAATAAAATCATAGAGACTCCAGGCTAAAGGAACCTACTTAAGAATGGTATTTTATGTGATATTTATATCGGAGAAAAGTTATTTTTGATGGAATTCATTTAAACTCGTTTCTTGCTTATCCAGCATTTCATATTTTACCTAAATTAACATGGTGTGTTTTTAAATAGAAGACTTTGATATATCTGTGATTTATGACATGCTTTCAAATTAATTGAAACTTTAAGCTACATGAAGGTTTGTTGTTTTGTATATTTTAAGGCTTCATATTGTTGTGGACCATGAAACCAACAAAGTTTGCTAAATGTAAAACAGTGATCGTTCCATAGAATATATGCTTCATTTTCTCTCTTTTTACACTTAGGAAAAGGTGAAAGGAGGAGAAAAGATTTAAATACATGTGATTTATTATAGTCTGACTTAAAAATCGCGTTTGTATAAGCAAGTCTGGCATTTACATAACCTCTTACTTATAATTTAATTTAAATGAAATAAAATGTGATAAATAAAAATGGTTATTTGTATTTCTTTTCTTTCTTTTTTTTTATGTGAAAGATTATTGTTAATACAAGCTATCATCTCCTTTCCAAAGGAAAAAAAAGGTAATCCTAGATTCTAATGCTCTGTGTTCTCTGAATCCTCCAAATTGTGATTGCAATTATTTTGGTCTCTTAGCAGGGAACAATACTTTGGGAAGCTCCAAATGAGATCACATTCTACGAGTCCAAATCACAGAGAAGATGGACAAAATATTATCCCAAAGATTTGTGTAAGATCAGATTTTAATTTTGTTTGGTTTTTGCTTGTTGTTTTAAAATAGCTGCACAAAGTTTTAATTTCATATTGTTGAAGTTCCAGTGATTGCTTCAAAATGGAAAAAAGTCTGATGATTCTGGTGAACATCCTGATGTCAAGGAAAGTGGGGTGTTTGGTATATAGGGTAGTATCCCTTCTACTGCCTCAATGATTCTGAGGTGTTATATTCATCAGTCTGTTGTTTCTCCTGTGTATCAAAGAATAACATTTTCCCTTTATTCAGAATATATATAGAAATGATTATATACCCGGTAATCATAAAGTTAAGGATTAACTTTAATTTAATTCCAAGTTAAATTGGAATTAACTTGTAGTGAAGTGGGGAACACTGCTTTTCTGATGAAGGTGAACTGTGTATATCTTGAAATAAGAATGTCTGTCTTGAATATGTTTGTTGATGAACATCAATTTGGTTTGGACAAGGTGCTAATGAGCACTCCAGTTAGCATTGTTTCTTTTTTTTTTTTTTTTTTTTTTGAGATAGAGTCTCACTCTGTCACCCAGGCTGGAGTGCAATGGCGCGATGTTAGCTCACTGCAACTTCTGCCTCCTGGGTTCAAGCCATTCTTCTGCCTCAGCCTCTCAAGTAGCTAGGACTACAGGCATGTGCCACCATGCCCGACTAATTTTTGTAACTTTAGTGGAGACAGGGTTTCACCATGTTGGCCAGGCTGGTCTCTAACTCCTGACGTCAAGCGATCCTCCCTCCCTCCTCAGCTTCCCAAATTGTTGGGATTACAGGCGTGAGCCACTGTGCCCAGCCCCAGTTAACTTTGAAAAGAGAAACACTGTGCCTGCTTATTCCAGTCTTTATTGCCTAACTCTGGCTGTCTTGGGTTACATGAATTTTAGTTACAAGAGAGAGCATGTGAAACCCATGAGCGTTTTAGTACATAGCACTATAAACATAATTCATTGCATTTTATCCAATGATAATTTGGAATTAAAAAATATAAAGGGCAGCACATTTTAAATAATGATAAACTACAATCCTTATATTTACTTAGAATAAGCAAGGCAGGTATACTTTCTTATTTAAGAAATTCTTGTTCATGAAAAAAACATACAAAAAGCTGAGAACCACTAGTAGAAGTGATAATGAATTTTTATATAGTATTATAAATAATAATACAGTATTTTATTGAATAGAAATGTAGAGACTCAGTAAGATATGAAGAACATTTTAGTGCATTAAAAAAAAACTTCATATTATTTTAAGTGACCATATATATATAGGTATAGTTGTTAGCAATTAAGCTTTCTAAAAGCATGAGAATGCTGTATCAACAAATCTAATTTCAAAATATACTTTCTGGGCTGTAAAATACCCATCTTTTCCACAGACTTACCATACTAAATGTTTAGTGTTTTCTGGTCATTGTTGGTTTCTGGGCACAGATCTTTGGTTGTCTCTAGTTTATTATAGTTTCAATCTGGTTTGATAAATGTGTAATACAAAAATTGTACAGGAGGGAAAAAAATCATGGAATTTTTCTGTCTTAAAAAGTAAAGAATCACCGTAATTGTGTTTTCATGACGTGAGTCTAAATATTATTTATCTTTATATTCAGTGTATGAGTGAGAATTAATTTAAGAACAAAGAGCTGCTTGGACATCAGCACAAAACTTCCCTGTTAACTAATTTTAATGAGAATAATTCATCTTTTCATGTTGCCCCTGCCCCGGACAACACACTTTAAAGCTACTGTGGTATACCACAATTAAAACTTTTTGTAAAAGAACTTAAAGAGAAGAGTCTGGATTAATTTTTAAAATATTCTTTTGTTTTTTTGAAATCTAGTTACTGTGTGAATATATTATTAAGGCAGCTCATAGCCCTAAGCAGCTGTACTAAATAGTTGTTACTTAGAACAGAGAACCCTAGCTCAGTTATAACCTAATCCTTTCCTCTGAGGGCAATACAGCATTACCAGACAAGCACACAAAACTCTCATTACACTGAATGACATATATTTTGTTCTTTTTTTCTCCCTCCCTTCCCGCCTCTTTCCCCTCTTTTCCTCCCTTTTCTTCCTTCTTTTTTCTTCCTTCCTCCCTTCCTTTCTGTCTTTCCTCTTTATTTCCCCTTTTATCTCTTCTGCCTTATCCTCTTTTATCTCTTCCGTCTTTTCATCTTTTATTTCTTCCATCTTTCCTTCCTCTCCTCTTCCTTTTTTCCCTTTTGTATTTCAGGAAGATCATTTGAAAAAATCTCCTGTTTCTTTGGATGATAGTGACATTGAAGCTCGCCTTAATAGTTGGAATCTTGGGGTAAAAAAAAAAAGTATTTGCTTTATGTATATATTGATGTGTCAGAATCATATTGTATGTACATAATAGTGGAACTATTTTGATTTTATTCAGTGAATGTTGGATGTTAGACATTTGTTACTGTGTGTCCCTGAGAAGGGTTTTAAGTATAGGAAGTAAATAACATTCCAAACAAAAAATACTCCCTGTCCTGAACAAGCTAACTTTCTTATGTGTGAAATAAAAGATATACACGTAAAATAGTTAAATAATAATAAAGTATAATTTAAGATAGTATATGATAAAATACCAAGATGAGTTATGTGTCCCCTGAGGTGGAGTGAGGGGGAAGGGGGAACTTGAAGAAACACAGCCATTTGGGTTAAAAACACTCAAGGGGACCCCATGGATGTCCATAGTTGTTATGGACAGCAGTTTATAGAGGTTGAGGGTCATGAAAGCCTTTGGAGTGCTAGAGAGGTGGGAATTGGAGGCAGAAATAGGTGCAAAGAAAGATTTGGGGAAGTAAGTGAGCTGTCGTGATTGGGTGTTTGGAATTTATGTATGGAATCTGTGGGCACTGTTGTCAGGCTGCATTGCATTGGAGCTTTGAATGCTAAATTAAGTTTAGCTTTTAAATTTTAGGCAATATTGAGTCCTGGAGGTTTTTTTTCCCCATTTCACTTTACATATATGCTAACTGTTTAAATGCTTTGAGGAAACAACAAAAGTGCTTAAAATTATTTTAGAATATCTTTTATTATAAAAATAATTTGTAATTTGAAGAATATAAAAAAATCAGAGGAATAAAAATCAGCGAAGAGCTGTGCTAGCAGTTATATAACATATCGTTTCCTCCCTTTTTTCCTGTGTGTTTTTGTAAGATTCAGCAAAATTTAAACAAAATTGGGATTATATTATAAATGCTATCTTTTGTGCAATTTAACATTTTATATGAGTTTGTAAGAATTCTATATAAATGACTATGAATGGTAGCATTTATTTTTCTTTTCGATGGATATTCCATAAACTTTTAAAGTGTTCTGCTATTTTTGGACATCTGAGTTGTTCCCAGTTTGTTTAACACAAGTCATGTTGCAGGAAAATTCCTTTTAAGAATCTTTTTATACATATTTGGTTGCGTTCTTAGCTTACATTACATTACGTCTTTGGTACGTTGCCTTCCAGAAGGTTCGTACCAGTTTCAACCAGCAGTATCAGTTGTCCATTTTCTTCAAACAGCAGCATATCAGCTGTCCATTTTCCACTTATTTACTGACATTAGGGATTGTTATTTCAAAAAACTTAAAACCTTCCTACTAAAAATGGTCTTTAATGAAAGTGGTGCTTGAGGGAAATTGACTTGGTGGCATTATGAAAGTTCTATTAGATATGAACAGAAATGGAGAAAGGGGCCTCATTATCTTTTAGGTCTTCTTTTTAAATTTAATTTTAAATTTTTTTTTTTTTTTTTTTGAGAGAGAGTTTCGCTCTTGTTACCCAGGCTGGAGTGCAATGACGCAATCTCGGCTCACCGCAACCTCCACCTCCTGGGTTCAGGCAATTCTCCTGCCTCAGCCTCCCGAGTAGCTGGGATTTCAGGCACGCACCACCAGGCCCAGCTGATTTTTTGTATTTTTAGTAGAAACGGGGTTTCACCATGTTGACCAGGATGGTCTTGATCTCTTGACCTCATGATCCACCCGCCTTGGCCTCCCAAAGTGCTGGGATTACAGGCGTGAGCCACCGCACCTGGCCTTAATTTTTTTTTTTAAATTTTGAGACAGAGTCTTGCTGTGTCATCCAGGCTAGAGTGCAATGATGCTATTATGGCTCACTGCAACCTCCGCCTCCTGGGTTCAAGCAGTCCTCCTATCTCAGCCTCCCAAGTAGCTGGGATTATAGGTGTGTGCCACTATGCCCAGCTAATTGTTGTATATTTAGTACAGATGGGGGTTTCACCATGTTGGTCAGGCTCCCGACCCTGAGGTGATCTGCCCGCCTTGTCCTCCCAAAGTGCTGGGATTACAAGCGCGAGCCACTGTGCCTGGCCATTTTAGGTCTTTATAGTGGACTCCATGTTAGTGTCATTGCTGGGAGGAAGGAAAGGTAAAAAGGAAAAGCCTTTGATAGAGAATAAAATACGGTAAGTAACTGATTGAAAGACTGAACTGAAAGGCACCTAAAGACTTGGTTTTGAGAAATGTTGGCCTTGTGTCAGTTAATTGACTGTCAGATGGGGGTGGACCCATTTTAAAGGTTTTAATTTAGATAGTGGAGTTTGAAGAGTGGTAAGATCAAATGGGAGGAGTTCAAGGCCTAGAGCTTCTTGAGAGTCAAGAGCTGGAGGTGTATGTTGGAGTCACATTGTTTGAGGAGGCAGCTGCGCCCAGAAACTAGAAGAGTTCTGGTCTTTGGAGAGCATGGAGAGTCGGGAGGTCTGGGCGGAGAGCAGAGTGAGGGAGGATGTCTGGCTTATGGAATGGGCACAGTTAGAAGGTTGGGAAATGGATAGGAAAATAAAGTAATGTGGGTCTCCTATTAATTTTGGGAGTTTGCTAGAGAAAGGGAGAAATAGATAAGAGAGGATAATAAATCAAAAGAAACAGGTATTTATGTTTTAAGGTACAGGGGAAGTTGCTATTGGAGGGAAGTCCTGTTCCCAGTGTGGGAGAAGAGCACAGGAAACCCTTCGGAAAGACAAATTCCTTTTCCAGAGAGCAACATCAAAGTGGAAGAGAAAATTCTGGAGCTGTCCTTTTAAACTCACCTTTTCCCTTAGCTACTTGAAACATAATATACATTACTTAGCACATAGAGTACTTTTCACAGTTGTTTAACAGTTCTGAGAATGAAATCTTTCATTAGTATGATAAAATTAAAATAAAACATTTAAGATATAATGAAATAATACCTTAAAAGTAGATCTGTCTGGGGTTTTGTTTCACTTTTTTTTTTTTTTTTTTTGAAACGGAGCTTTGCTCTGTCATCCAGCCTGGAGTGCAGTGGCGTGATCTTGGCTCACAGTAACCTCCACCACCCGGGTTCAAGCGATTCTCCTGCCTCAGCCTCTTGAGTAGCTGGGACTATAGCTGTGTGCTACCACACCTCGCTAATTTTTGTATTTTTAGTAGAGACAGGGTTTTGCCATGTTGGTCAGGCTGGTCTCGAACTCCTGACCTCGTGATCCATTTGCCTGTGCCTCCCAAAGTGCTGAGATTACAGGTGTGAGCCACTGCACCTGACCTTGTTTCACTTTTTTATTGTTCAAAGAATACAGTAACAGTGTAAAATATAAAAGTCTTGCATTTTTATATATTTATACCATATAGGCATTAATCAGGCTGAGCTGTATCTGTTTATTACAGTAGATAAGTATTCAATTTATTAGAAAGCTTAGATTTTGCTTTGATTTTAGTTTTGTATGAGAATGTGTGACTGGCTTTTCTTCTTTCTTCCTCTGAGTGATCCATTAGTAGCTAGAGTTGATTTTTGTGCTCTGGACTACAGATACATTTTTTATATTGCTAGTGTTACTGTCAACACCTTCATTCTGATGCATTAGATGTTGTAGAATTTGAATTTTCTAGCTTTTGTTAAAAAATCAAATTTTTCCCAAATATATTCTTTATTTTCCCAGGAGTATGTTAATATTTACTATAGGAATACTTAATTCAAGTAGAGATTTATTTACAAAAACTAGCAATGACATTTTTCTCTTGTATTTCTTCTTAATATTTAACTTTTTCAAAATTTAGTTTTTGTGATGCTTTCTTGCTTTCTCAATATATTTTATACCTATTTTGTGTCTGACTCTTTAAGTCACAAGCTGAACGGTAGGGCTGTGGGTGTTCACTGTAAGTTCATTTGATTAATTGCGTGGATGAAGGCTTTGGAACATTCTTCCTTTAGTGACTCATGCATCATTGTGAAACACTCTATGTGTATCCATTTGAAAAAAACCTTTAAAAATTATGTCTTATTTGGTTTATCAAGTTTTAGATTCTATTATTTATTTTGTGATTATATTGGAAGTTGTTGACATTGACTAGGAATTATTTGTAGCTTCCTTTTTAAAGTGCTACCTTTTAAGGTAGCTTCCTTTTAAGGTAGTAAGAAAAAGTCATAAGTATGTTCATTCTGGTTTCTAGAATGTGCTTATGAATTTTATTTGATAAGTGAGATATATAATATTAACATTCAGTGAAATCACAATCGTGAAACAAGTTGGGCGTCCTGTTTCCCTTTGAATTGAAATCCCTTTACCTAGGGATTTTTAGTGCTACATTCAAAAGCTTCATTCAATGGAAGCCTTCAGCTGTGTCAGCAAGCTAATTTTTCCCATTCATTTCTAGGTATATGGTCATTATTGTTTGATGGTTTAAAAGAAAAATGACCATACATAGAAAGACCAACTTTTATCCTAAGAAAATTATGTTATTGTTACTCTTGTGTGGTAATTGAATTGATAACAATTTCTTTGTGATTCTAATTATACAGATTTTTGTAGTCTCTGTTATTTTTTTCCTTTTTCCCCTTTTCTCTTCTCTTTTTTTCTCTTCTTTTCATCTTCTTCATGGGTCTTTATTGTAATTTTACTTAAGGTACAGAGAAGGGAAATGTGTTCATTAATGGGATACTTTGTGGTGTGATTAGTTGGGATAATTTTCATTAAGTAAGCATGTAATTTCAGCTGTCTTATATAGTTTTATTTTAGGCAATTTCATGTTTTTTCATGTGGGTTAGAAACCTGCCCATTTTCTTTTCTTTTTTAGAGACAGGGTCTTGCTCTGTCACGTAGGCTAAAGTGCAGTGGCATGATCATAGCTCACTGCAGCCTTCAACTTGTGGATTCAAGCGATCCTCCTGCCTCAGCCTCTTGAGTAGCCAGCTGGTGATGCACACCACCATGCCTGACTCCTGTCCATTTCATACTACACAATGATCTTGGAGGGACACTGAGCTGAACATTCTGATATTTTAGGCTTCTCATTTGGCTGTAGTTTTTCACAAGTCAGTGA